GGCTGCCTTCTTCTCGATTCGGAAGTCATAAAGAAGAAGCAGGCGAACTTGCTCCTTAGTAAGAGGGTAGGGCTGGTTCATGGCTGGAGAGCACCAGGGCTGTAATAATATACGGTTGTATGCCGAAGGACACGACCTACTTATAAACACACGCAGAAAATTCTAGCATGCTCTGGAAAAAAATTGTACTGGATATTCAAGAAATTCCGAGAACTTTCTTTCCAATCAGATAATAGTAGCATAGAAGCAGAAGCATTTAGATTGGAAAGACCTAAGAGAGAGAAAAATCTAAAAGAAGGTGCTTATGTACTTTTTCCCCATGTTAGGGAAAGAAATTGCCTGCTATACTGCATAAACACTGCCTGTGGCAGCCTTCTTAGACATGAGACCCCTATCTTTCCAGTCCCAATTCCTTTCCTTGCCTTTTTCCTCGAGTCATCCTTTTCATTCAGTCCCTGTCATCCATGTGGGTTGCTCTTAACCACCTCAACTTCTTCCTCAGCTCAGCCACATCACTCCATTGATCAATTCAGTTCCTGAGATACTTGAGTAATTGACATGCTTGAGTGCTGTTGCTCATTCTTCTAATAATCAGAAAATGCCCTGTTTCAAAAGTGCATGTTGAGCCCTTGTGATTAATTGGACCTGCTGTTCATGGGTATATGGGACCAATTATGTTGATGCCAACATGCTTTTGTTGAAAATGTCTTAATTTGTGTAATGTGACTTGTAGTTAGTGAAAAAAAAGATGTTAAAGTGTGATGTCAAACACCTCAATTCCTACTTTCCTCTGAGGAAGGCTTCAGGCCTCATTTTATGTTGTGGATGCCTGAGAGAGGGAAAAAAAGGTATTTCTCTTGAGATTTTGGAATGAAAAGAATTGAACATCTGGGGGTGAGTTCCATTGGGATCTTATTCTGTGAAGATGGGAATAACAAAAAATTTCATCCTAATAACCTAAATTTAGGTAGAGAAAGTTAATTGCATTTCTGGGAGAGGAAGGTGGGAATAGAGATTTTCTAGATTTGTTTCAAATGACCTTGTATCTTTCCTACTCATCTCTTGAGGAGCTGCAAGTTTTGCACATGTCCTCATTACATGAATGATTTCGTAATTGTTATGTGTTGTTGAATATGGATTACCAATCCTTTTTGTAACATGGAAAGATCAGGGTTTGCATGATCTCTTGCACATGATGAGTGAAAGAGACTCGAGAACAAAAAGTTATAATATACTTTGCCTATTTTCTTATATGCCCAGGGGACTGAAGACCAGCAGACATTATTTGGGCAAACTTTTTTTCGTGCCCAGCCAGAGCCCAAGCGAGGAACATTGGGAAAGAGGATTCCAACTAATGACATACTGGAATTTCTCGATCTTCTTAAAGTGAGCTTCTTAAAGTAAAGTCTGATGTAATTCCTTTTCCACCGGTGACACATCTAATTCATCTTGAGGCTATCAGGAAGACTCAAAATGCTTTACCGGAAAGAATTACTAGGTTTCTTTTATGATCTACAGTTTAAAATTGATAAGTGTATTCATTTAATGAATTATTGTGATTTCATACTAAGGAATTCTTACCTGTTGTGCAATACACTGGTCTTGTAGTACCAAGTTTTTAATCTTGTTTTTCTACATTTTCCTTAAACTTTACTGAGCATCTTCCCCCTCCTGATTTTGTCATTTTTCTTCTTCCTGAGCTTTATTTTTTGTTGGAAAGCATTCATAAATACAGGTTCCAAACTTACCCTCCATTCCCTATTGCAGCTTGGCCAAACCCCAATCCCTCCAAATGAGCAGAAGAAGGTGACATTGTATGAGTCACTCTCCTCTCCATTCTTTGACCCTGGCTCTTTGTCCATGGATGATGATGGAAGTCAAGGCAGTTCCAGAGATGCCCTTGAAACATACTTGGCCAAGCAGGTAAACAAGCAGGAGTGGATATTTGAACAGAGCAGTATATGATAATATAGATTTATTTCAGAGAAAATGCATTATAAATCTGGTAAATAAAGCTGCATTATCAGATAGTGCTCTGTTCAAAATCCACCCTTAGAAACCTCCAAGTAGGAGGAAATTACCAAGTGAAATTCTTTTTAAGACTTTTTTCATCACTGAACTTCAACACAATCTAGAGACATACTTGTTTATTATGTACTGAAGACATTCAAATGTCCCTGGATTGTACCTTTGAGAATTTTGTTGTACATCTCTTGGCATATCCTGGTTTGGGTTGCACCAGTATACATACTTCTCAGGGATGTCCCATGCATAACAAGCATTTGAATTGTTTCTCATGCTGGCATTTTCCACTCATTGTACAAGTGCATTGCCAAAGAGAATTTTACATTCTTTGTTCCACTCATGATTGGGGTGCTGCTTGCTTGCAGGGTGTACCATCTTCCACTCTGACATCCTGAATCTCTACAGGCAATATTGGGTTATTGTCATCATCCTGGCCTCCTCCCTTGTAAATTTGATGCATTCCTTCTCACATTGAAGCATCTTTTGACTTTTGAAGCTCTGGTTACAAGTTGCCAGTTTGTGCATATTGGATTAGGCTGTGTGAATTGGAGCAGGTTGGGTGACAAGTCGGAATGTGAGGAATATATCATGAAAAATGGAAACTCTTAGTCCAGTTGGTCGATCATACTTAGGTGGCGATCATACTTAAGAATGTTTTCACGTGTTTTTAACCTGTTGAGTGGTGAGTTGCCATAGTAGTGGTGGCCATTTGGGGGGGGGGGGCTGGTTTATTCTTAAACGACTTATGTATGCAATGATTAGCATGCTCCAAGCATGCCAACTACTCTTCTGCCAATGTTTCCTCACGGAGAAATGAAAATTAGAGTTGCCCTTGTATTTTAGCTTTCGGGCTAAAACAACTCAAGAATTTCAAGATGTTTCAAAGATGTAGAAGTCATTGTGAAAAATATATTGCCTTGCTATCTGCTATCTCATAAACTCCTAAGAATGTCAAAGAGATGTGTGTTTTTTTGCTTTATCTGGTATTAAGCTTTTGAAGTAGTTTTGAAGTAGTGTTCGGCATGGGGATTATGAAGTAAATACTTCAATGGAGAGTGCCATGTTAGCTGAAGTATTAAGTCTGAAATGATGTCATCATAATGGTCATAGGTCAAGTGATGTCATCACATAATAGGTGACATTGGAAGTAAATGATAGCACTTTTCCCCATTGAATAATTTGCCTTTGGATCATTGTGAATGTCCAACATAAGTACCAGAAATTTCCTAATTTGATTGCATATGTGTAGCCATGGACATGACTGATGCTAGCCTCATGTCATTCAATGTACAGGTAGCTTTGCTAATAATGTTCTTCAGGTTAGGTATGATAAACAGATTACTCAGGTGGACATGTCACGTGAGTAACCCCATGGCCAGAAATCAGCTACTGAAATAATTAGTTGCCATCCATGTGCTAGGTAGCTAGAGTCGTTTTTCTTCACATAATTTTGTCTCTAATGTTCCTTTAACTTCACTTTCCTTTTTCACTATCTTGTGTCTGTACTCCTGTCAGCTTCATGATTATGATGCTGTGTGCAATGATGTTATTAGTATATATTTATGATTTTCTCTTGCAATTAATTCCCTATGCTACTCATTTTACTTTTTGTGGTAACACCATCCAATGCCATGTAGTTGCTCAGAACTCAGATGCTTTATGATTACCTTCTACTTACTTTTGAACTGAAGCAATTTATTGGATTATCCATAATATATTAACATGAGTTGAAAGTGGTAGGCCTATACTTTTTTCTGGCAAAGTTGTATTTAAAAGGAGAAGACATAGTTGACAGGCAGTAAGAAATCCTAATCTCCCTCTGAGAGTTACAATAACATTTTGAGATCAATTTACAAGATTGGAAACCTGGTTACCTCATATGTTCATCTCCCAGATTCCATCATAAGGAGACGTGTTTATTTTCGTTGAGCCATGATGTCTGCATGCACTGAAAACCTGAGTTCATAAGGACCTGAATGAATGTTATTTCTGTCCTTGAATTTGAAATACTCATGGCTTTGTGTATCTGCAGATGGCTGGAGACTACGAAGGAATGTCTGAGAAGTTGAAGGGTACATATGATAGATTGAGGAGCTGGGGAGTTGATTGCATCCCCTTGTCAGAGGGGAGACCTTCACTCCAGATTCCTCAGCTTGGAGTTCCTCAACCTTCTCTATCTCAGGTACATCTACTCCGGGAGTTGGGAACCTATGGCTCATAAGCCGAAAGTTTGGCTCATTGACTCATGGCAGAAAATCATGATTGTTCCTCATTTTTCTCATGTATCAAAGAATGCATATGTCTGTGGCCAACTTCAGGAAAAATTCTGTTCTGAAAGTCTTTTATTTGCAAGCACTTAGCTCAATCTTAATATGGCTCACATGGCTGCAAAGGTTCCCAACCAATGATCTTCTCTGTTGAACCTGTTGTTGGTAAGTTGGATGGTTTCAATTAAGTCTGGTCTTGTTTTGGATTCATCTAGAACTTGGAGGCTGTCAAGAAGCTATCTGAGTTGAAGGTGAAAGCGAAAGATGTGGAAACAGAAATTCTCAAGTGTTTTGATAATTCTGAACTGGATGAGGATGAAGATGATGATGAGAATGATAATGATTATGTTCATGATCATGATCGTGATTGTGAGCATCAAGATGAAGATTGTTTCCTTTCTATGTGATTTTGTGCTTTGCCTTTGATTTTTGATTTTTAATTTGGGTCAAAGTATCAGAGTTTATCCAGAAAATTGTGTTTCTTCCCAATAGCATCAATGAATAAATATTTATGCAATTCCTGAGTTCATGGTGTTGCATTTCCTTCTAGTGCATCTTGTAATAGAGAGTTCTTGCAAAAGATTTAGTGAAAAGTGTGAATTCCTAGGTTATCCTGTCCAGACTCCTACTAGCTGACTGTCTGCTTCCCCCCCACCCCCCATACTTCTTGAGGTGAAAACCCCTCTCAATAGTGGCAACACCAGTGCAATTCCCAGAATAGCGTTAATCAGTGGCACCTGCTCATTGATGAGTAGTCCAATGTCGTCTTGGAATTATAAGAAGTAATTTTTTACTCTAATAACTGCTAGTAAGTGCATCAAATCCCGAAAACTCATTGTAGTCCTGGATGTCTTCATCAAGTCTGATTGACTTTGTACATGAAATTATGAGTAGATCCCAAGGTTTTTTTTTTTAGAGTTGAGAGTTGAATTGGCCGTACTTAACTCTGGCGTCCATACGTTTCCGAAGTAGAATGTTGGAAAACTTTCACCAGTAAGTTTTTCCCTGCAGGAAAGTGAATGCGCTTCTCTAACGGGGCATCAGTTATTTGCATCGCACGAAGAGTAGAAACTGATTGATATCGGAAAGAAGGGGATGAAAACGACATTGGCTCATCCTCGCTGCGACCACCACCTCCAAAGAAAGTTCATGCATCGTGCCGATATGACCCTAGTCGAGTTTATGCGGTGCTGCTTTGTCCTTGGTCCCCTTCCAATTTGATTCCGAATTATTTTCTTCTCTATCACATTGGTGAAAGGTCAGACCATTAGCTCACATAGCCTACTTTATCACATGGAAACCCCTTTTTTGGACATAGTTATTTTCATTTACTATGATGATTCCCAACACTTGCGGAATTCTATACACACAAGACACGAAACGCTCGAAAAAGAGGATGGAGACTATCCATTTCGCTCGGCTCCTTTTTCCTCGCCACTTCCCAGTCTCGCTCACCTTAAAGATGCAGGAATGTCCCCAGCCTTCCTCTCACTTTTCATCCTCCGTTCCGGAGACAACAGGGCGAATTCCGTGTTCCGATCCCGTTGACATATCACATCCTTGATGTTGAGCGTGATGAACGTCACAAGGCTTTCATACGTGAGAACTTACATCGATTCTGACATCACATTGAAGAATCCTAAACACACGACTAATACAGTAACTGAAACCTTAAAAGAAGTAGGTAGCAACAGTTGTCTCTTCAACAGTCTCTGTACGAAGCTCGAAATGAACTGGGCGGGTACGGAATTCCTCGAGCCAACTTGGAGAAATGCAATTCCAGGAATATTAGCTCGCTTTTTTTTTTAACATGCATGAAACCGCGTGGTAAATCTGCACTCAATGGTCCTAAATAAAATATCCCACGGAATTCATGCTATATCTTGTAAGAGAAAATTGTTAGACGCATAGGTGTAAGGGCTGCGAATGTCGGCACTGGGGGGTGAAGAAATAGTGGTCCGAGCATTAATTTGTCCAGCCGTATTTTCTTCACTGACGTCTGCTCGGCAGGGCTGAATACAACTGTCTTGGTTAGACGCCACTACTTAAAAAAACGGCGTAAGGCATCGTCTCACACAATAACGATCCCTCGTGCAAGGATGGTGAATTCTGCCTCTTGGAGACGCGTCGCCTCTGATGAATATTTTTGTTCTCCTCTGGCATCGTCACTCTTCAGTCGGTCGTGAGCATGAGATAAGGTATATTCCTAAGTCATTGGGGATGATGTTCATTGGGCATAGGAAGTCGCCTGCAAGTACTTCCTGTGACTTCTCACTTGTCCCTGGGTGATATCTCTGGGATGTGCTAGTTCTTACCTAGTAGACTGATATTTATTTTTTTATTTATTTATTCCAGCAATGGGTTTTAAGTTTGCTGGGTGATTCAAAAGATGGAAACAAGGCCGAACGAAGTAGTTGATAATTTTCTTACACGTTATTTTTTTTTAAATGCATTTCATATTTTCTCTGTCTGGAGATCAGCTACAACTTGGCATGAAATACGTGAAAGCCGACATTTCAAGCATCCGAAAGAATGAATGCCGATGCACAAATATGAGCTAGAGACTATTAACTAACAGTGTCTTCTTAACAATGCTCTCAATTATTTCACTTGATCGCACCCAACTCAAATATTTGTGCTCCAACGCTTCCTAGGCATCATCTGGACACCCTGTGTTTTCTTAGGACATGGCGAGAAGAACGCCAGATGATTCATTAAGATTCTTTGATCCCACAAGAGCCCGGAGGAGGCGGTCGAGGAGGGCTCGGATGTGGGTCGCTGGGACTGGACATTTTTAGGATTGAAACTTGCAGGCTTTCAGGAAATTCATCTCCTTCATCTGGAGGAAAGAGCGAATTGAGAAGGATGTGAGTTTGGAGACGCAATCAACCTATAAAAAAAAAAAAAACATTATTTTTGGTGCTGCTCTTGCATAGGGTGGAAGTGGCATGACATGTTCTTGCCTGTTCCTTCTTCGTCTGGCATGGCCCCTTTCTGGAGCACCCTGAAAAGGTCACCATTTCAGCCTCTTTCCACGGCCACTCTTTGGAGCATTATATGCAAAAAACAGCTCAGACTACGGTCCATGCCTTGTTTTTCCTGTTGTCTACCTTGGCAAGGTAGATTCTGGGAGCAAGTGAAAATAAACATTCCAAAGAGAGGTGTCTCGGTCGCTTCAGCCCTGAAATTACCTGGAATTGTTCATGTCTGAAAGACTGAGACACGTCTTCGTACGTTTTTCCCAAATTAGTTTCGGACCAGTCGTGTGAACTGGGTGGTCCAGAGCTCGGCAGTGGATTACCTCCATCTGCTTCTTGTTGCCATGAATCACCTCGTATGGAATACTGGGCCTATTTGCCATCGGCATTCATGATGAGGTTACCCCTTTATTCTATGAGCAACTCATGAGTGTTTTGCTTTGCTTGCACTCTAATGTCATGAAGGCAATGTTTCTGTTGCTTCACTGTGGCAGGTTAGGTATCTGGTTGCCAGTGAACACAGATCCCGAGTAGCCCTTGCACTACAGGTTGCCAATCTGTGGACGAGAGCAATTTTTTGCATTCAAGTTGAACATCCCCAATCTCCCTCAGGTAATCTTTTACCTGGATCGCAGAGCTTCAGCTGACAAGGAAACCATGGGAAAAGTATTGGGGGAATCGGCAAATCCTTTGAAAATCAGGCAAGATAGTGAAATGTCATTCACTTGTGTAGGAATGGGGGTGCTATATGTTTTCATAGAGGTCATGTCTGGAAAAGCATACTTTTAGTCAGTAAAAGCTATTCCTACAAGACCTAAAAAAGTCAGAGTGTAGGCGGCTCCGACGTGATTTAACGTTAATGACTATCACGAAGAGATCGCCAGCGTGTTCGAGGTTTACAATGACTCAGTTGACTCCTTAAATATCCAATTACTTTATTGTGACAACCAGCTTGGAAAGAGGTCAATAATAACGAGAACCAGGAAATGGATATGGGGCAAAAATTCAAACATCTATTCCCCTAAACGCTCATTAGCCCATAGATACTCAATGAGCAATACCTGCATATAAACCCGTGTGGCATCGGTGGGGCAACAGACAGCATACAATCTCCCGCACTGACGTCAAGGGTCCACTCAACACCCCGCGTCTTCTCTCAGGTTTCTCCTCACTATTACTACAATTCGACTCCCTTGCCCGACTCACTCACTTGACATCCCCCCGACTCACTCACTTGACATCCCCCCGACTCACTCACTTGACATCCCCCCGACTCGACTACCCGCGCGGACCCTTTTATTCCGTTATGCCGGACATGCGCATTATCTTTTACTGTCACTTCATCATCTTCATCAAAGTACCTCCTACAAGAGAAACCGACTCTCAACCCTTTGCCTTGAGTTGCCTAAAGTTACCTTGGAAGATGAAAAATGTCAATAATACTTAATAGCAGAAGGTTTTATGGGAAACTATTTTTTGTTTTCTTTCGGGATCCTTATATAATACTCTGAAAGAACCACTCCCACCCTGCAATTTTTCTACAGGATAGACGCAGTAAAAGATCCGATTTAGACCGAGTAACAGTGACAATTTTTGACAATGAAGTGGTATGGGAATAAAAGGAGAATAGCTGATGGAAACGCCCAAGTTATGTTCGCTATCCACAGACAGGTTTTTGTAAAACTTTAGTGTTTCGGTGGTGGAACATGTGGATGTGTGGAAGCTGATACTTGGATTAGCCTTAATCTTTCTTGATTAACCTTTTAACAGCTATGATTGAGTTAGCTCCAGCACGAAATTGTGTTTCTTATTGTGGCATTTATTCTGGTGCATCTTGCCTGAGATCTTCAGGACAATATATACCAGTCTAGTAATATACTTACATAATAAGCTGAATGAGGAAACATACGTCATTTTGCGTGTAGGGCACAAAATGGTTCACCCAAAGTGGAAAACCTAGCACAGGTATGTGTAAATAAAAATAATGCAGCAGAGAAGGGGTTAAGGGAAAAAGTCACTAGGTATGAATGGGTTGAAATGCAGGATCTTTTTTCTTTACTGCAAATAACTTTTGCAACCTTCGCAAGAACTTTGCTAAAAGTATGGATTTTTTTTTACTGTAACACAAATTATGCCCTGCAGTCGGTGGGATTCTTTAGTTCAGTGGAGGTGGACCAAGTCCCAAGGAAGGACTGTCATGACGACTGCCGGACACCGGCTAACCCTCACGGCCTCCATCGAGGATTTGGGAATCCCTCCTGGGGAATCCCTGGGAATCCCTCCTGGGGAATCCCTGGGAATCCCTCCTGGGGAATCCCTGGGAATCCCTCCTGGGGAATCCCTGGGAATCCCTCCTGGGGAATCCCCGGGAATCCCCGGGATATCTTACAGGAAATCGACCGCGACTCGCTGGCATTCTCGAGCCTTGCTCTTCGTGCTTCCCTTTGGAAGCTGCGAATCATTCGGATGAACTGGCTCTTTTTGAGCCCAACAATGGGAACATCCTGATTTTTCAGCAACACCTCCTCTTCCTGCGACAGCCTTGTTCGTTTGTTCCTCCTCAGCATGAAGAAATGTGAGGGAAAACGAGTCTTGGCCTCGTGTGATGAGGGAAATGAAATAGACTCTTATTTTGTAGAGGCATACTCGTTTCCTTGTATTGCCATGTAGGGGAGGTGTGACAAACCCCGTCCCCGATATAATGTACACGTCACGTAACTCAACGAATAAGAAGATATCAAATAGAACTTTTCAACAAAATTACCCCAACGTCCGGTCTCGAAACTTGAGTGAAAAGTGGTGGCATTTTCCGCTCGAATAGGTTTAAGTCCCACCAGTAGAGTGCCCAGGAAATCCGAATGGGGGGGGGGGGGGTCGCTATATGAAACACTGATTACCCGTCCTAATGGGGGTTAACATACGAAAAAACTGATAACCCGCCCTGTATTTGTGGCCAAAATAAAAAAGAAATTGAGAATCGAACCTGTAAAATTGACCCCCCTCCCCCCTCGGGCACTGGGTCCCACAGCCATCAGTTTAAAAACATGGACAAGGGCAAGGATTTTTAGCTTAAGGGTGTAGAAATTTACT